GAGAGGATGGCTTGAGGCCAGGAATTCAAGGTTGCAGTAAGTATGATGGTGCCACTGCAGCTGCAGTGTGGGCGACACAGCAAGACCCTGTCTCTAAAAAAAAAAAAAAAAAAAAGACGTGCAAGTGAGTCTATCACCACGGCTGGAGTGCAGTGGCGCAATCTCGGGCTCACTGTAAGCTCCGTCTCCCAGGGTCACGCCCCATTCTCCTGCCTCAGCCTCCAAGTAGCTGGGAATACAAGGCGCCCACCCCACGCTCACGGCTAATTTTTTGTATTTTTAGTACAGAAGGGGTTTCACCGTGTTAGCCAGGATTGGTCTCGATCTCCTGACCTCGTGATCCGCCCGCCTTGGCCTCCCAAAGTGCTGGTGATTAGAAGGCCAGTGGGCACCGCAACCCTAGCCGAAAGTGAGTCTTAGAAAGGGGCCTTGGTGGAAACGACTTGAGGATGAAGAGATTGAGTCAAAAATTCAAAGGGCAAAGGGCAAGGAGGTCCCCTTTCCGGGTGTACTTCTTGGAGACAGCCTACTGTTTGGGATTGGTATCTAGGTAAATGGATAAGTACTGAACTCCGTTTCATGGGGAGCCAGTGAACCGGACGGTTTCTAAGCTGCCACTGCTCCCTGCAGTGAGCCACGATGCTGGGGCTCTTGCTTCTCCGCCTCATCTGCCAGGGGCCCCAGCACTCACTTCCACCGCTCCGTGGCAGGCTCCTTTGCCTCCTGCCATCGCTTACCAGACAGCCATGCGGCACTGCCTGAGGTGAAGCCAAGCACTTCCTGCTCGGAACCCTTCAGCTCACCAGATAGCACCGGTGGACATCCACTGTCAGCCAGATCCAACTCCAGCCCAGAGGAGTCACACACCGCAGTGACCCCACTGCCACTCCTCGATGTGGCACCTGGCTAAATCATAGGTCATCTTGGTAAGCTGAGTAATTCGGACACACAGTTCCACAGAGGATGCATGCAAATACTAAAGGAGCGGGGATCTAATACGCTATAAAGGCGAAGTTCCGCAGATTCTACATCTATTCAAAATTAGACTTTTAAGGCCAGGTCGCGGTGGCCTCACGCCTGTAAATGCCCAGCACTTTTGGGGAAGGACCGATATGGTCGGTGATCCTTGAAGCAGGGAGTTCAAGACCCGGCTGACGCACATGGTGAACACCGTCTCTTAACCAAAAATACAAAAATATACTGGGCGATGAAATGGGTGAGTTATAATCCCAGCTACTCTGGAGGCTGAGGCGTAAAGAATCACTTGAATGGCGGGAGGCGGATGCAGTGACGAGATCGCGGCGCCAGCGCCTGGCATCAGAGCAAGACTCGGGTTCTCAACCAAAACAAAAATGAAACTAACGTAGAAAATAAAAATATAATAAAATGTTAGGAAAAAAAAAAAAAAAAAAAAAAAAGACAGGGGAAGAATGCTAGCTGGGTATCATTAGCTATCAGTGAAAAGCCTGTTTTCTGCCAAGTAATTTATTTCTATTTGAAAGTATGAAAGTGACGCCAGGCATGGAGGCTCACGCCTGTAATCCCACCAACTTGGGAGGCTGAGCGGGGAGGATGGCTTGAGCCCAAAATTGAAGGGTGCAGTGAACTGTGATGGTGCCACTACACTGCAGTATGGGCGACACAGCAAGAACCCGTCTCGTAAAAAAATAATAAAATTAAAAATAAAGACTTGAAAGTGAGTCTTGAGAAAGGGGCCTTGGTGGAAACGACTTGAGGATGAAGAGATTGTAGTCAAAAATTCAAAGGGCAAAGGGCAAGGAGGTCCCCTTTCCGGGTGTACTTCTTGGAGACAGCCTACTGTTTGGGATTGCTATCTAGGTAAATGGATAAGTACTGAACTCCGTTTCATGGGGAGCCAGTGAACGGACGGTTTCTAAGCTGCCACTGCTCCCTGCAGTGAGCCACGATGCTGGGGCCTCTTGCTTCTCCGCCTCATCTGCCAGGGGCCCCAGCACTCACTCTCCACCGCTCCGTGGCAGGCTCCTTTGCCTCCTGCCATCGCTTACCAGACAGCCATGCGGCACTGCCTGAGGTGAAGCCAAGCACTTCCTGCTCGGAACCCTTCAGCTCACCAGATAGCAGCCGGGTGGACATCCACTGTCAGCCAGATCCAAACTCCAGCCCAGAGGAGTCACACCGCAGTGACCCCACTGCCACTCCTCTGATGTGGCACCTGGCTACATCATAGGTCATCTTGTTACTAGTTATTGTGACACACAGTCCACAGAGGATATCAAAATACTAAAGGAGGGGGATCTAATAGCTATAAGGAAGTCCAGATTCTACATATTAAAAGTTAGACTTAGGCCAGGTGTGGTGGCTCACGCCTGTAATCCCAGCACTTTGGGAGGCCAAGGCAGGTAGATCGCTTGAGGTCAGGAGTTCAAGACCGGCCTAACCAACATGGTGAAACCCCGTCTCTACTAAAAATACAAAAATTAGCTGGGCATGGTAGTATAATCCCAGCTACTATAATCCCAGCTACTCTGGAGGCTGAGGCAGAAGAATCACTTGAACCTGGGAGGTGGAGGTTGCAGTGAGCTGAGATCGT